TTTGGGTTCAATATTGCGGTGTCCTTTCTCAGTGACAGTAGGGGCAGCAAGGCACATATTATATTGTTGCCACCGAGGATAAAAAGATGGGGTTTTCATCATATTGCTTGAGTTAATTCCTCTACATCATGTCATCTTTCTGAATGCGTTACTCCGTTCTTTATGAACTTAAATACTCTAGATGCATGCTGGATAGCGGTTGATGTGTGGAGTAATAGTAGTAGATGCAGGTAGGAGTCGGTCTACTTGACACAGACGTGATGCCTATGTTCATGATCATTGCCTTAGATGTCATCATAATTATGCGCTTTCCTATCAATTGGTCGGCAGTAATTTGTTCACTCACTGTAATATTTGCTATCTTGAGAGAAGCCACTAGTGAAACCTATGGCCCCCGGGTCTCTTTCCCATATTATTGAATCTTGTTACGTCTTGCTAGTTTCTGATCTACTATTTTGCAATCTTTACTTTTCAATCTATAAACAAAAAATATCAAAAATATTTACTTTACCGTTTATCTACCTCTATCAGATCTCACTTTTTGCAAGTGAACGTGAAGGGATTGACAACCCCTTTTATCGCGTTGGGTGCAAGTTGTTGATTGTTTTTTTTGAAACTTCGGAAATCTTTTATTGGATCAAAACAGAGTTACATCATCCACTAAGCCCTTTACAATGAAAGCCGGCAGCTCCTCAATCCAGACGGAAGATGGAGCCAACACCGCTTGCCTAGCTAAAATATGAGCGACAGAATTTGCCTCCCTAGGGCAGTGAACAAAAGACACCGAAGTATAACCTATGATGAGGACCAAACAATCCGAATAGATCGCTGATGCGCCTGATGCCGTAAAACCCCCATTGTTCATAGTTTCAATCACCTCAAGGCAGTCGGACTCCACAATGAGCTTGGTGATCCCCATCCGCTGCGCTAGCAAGGGGCCATGCCGTAGTGCATGTGCTTCCGCCGTCCCAACGTCAGCAACATGCTCCAGCCTCTCGTTTGAAGCTGCGATGAATCCACCTCTGCAGTCCCGTAGAGCAGCTCCTATAGCCCCCTGAAGGTCATCTGCATGGAACGCTGCATCTACATTCAATTTGACAAAGTCCTCCTGCGGTTTCCTCCAACCAGATGATCTCTCTATCACATTCTTCTTCGTAGCCTTGATGTAATTTGCTGCGAGTGCTGCAATCGCCAGCGCAGCTCAGACCGCGGGCTGCACTTCCTCCCCGTGGACGTGTTGTCTACGCTCCCACCAAATGTACCATATACCCACAAGGATTAGAAATTGAGCTGGGATATCTTGGATCACTGTCTGTCGAGTAGGAGCACATAAAATATAGTCCAACGCTGCCGAGCCCGCCCTGTCAGTATCACACGCCTCGTCCACGAACCCGTCAAGATTCAGACATCTCCATACTTCTACTGCCCTAGGGCAAGTGAAGAGAGCGTGCATAATATCTTCGCATCCACCCACACACATAGGGCAGCTATCAGAAGTATCAATATGGCGATTTGCCAATACCCCAAAACATGGTATGAATCCATGTAAGACCTTCCAAGCATGGATCTTAACCTTAGCGGGGGCAGGCGACTCCCATAGTTTTTTCCACACCGGGTAACGCTGGGATGGCTCCCCCTCTGTTCGTTCATACCAGCATGCAAATTGATGTTGCCACTCGACATGATAAGCAGATCGGACCGAGAAGGCGAAGTTCCTTGTAAACCTCCAGGCTACAAAATCTTCCATCATCCCATGTGGTGCCAGCGGAATGGCAAGAATTCTATGCGCATCGACCGGCCAAAACACATCACTTATCAACTGTTGATCCCAAAACCCGGTGACCGGATCAATCAACTCCGAAACCTTAGACAGAAGGGTCCCTCCTCGTGGTGTAATGACACGGCCATCAGCACTCGATTGTATCCAGAGTCAGCCCAGATGTTCACTTGTGATCCATCACCTATGCGCCATATTGCCCCTCTCCTGAATGTATTAATGCCAGCACAAATACTCTGCCATGTATACGAGCTTCCACTTTTCACCTTGGCATCAAGAAGCTTTCTGTCCGGATAATACTTGGCTCTCAATATCTGAGCATACAAAGAATCAGGATTCTCAAGCAGCCTCCAAACTTGTTTAGCAAGTAGAGCTAAGTTAAAACTGTGTAGGTCCCTGAATCCTAAACCTCCCCTTTCTTTAGGTATACACAACTTCCACCAAGCTGCCCAATGGATCCGCTTATGATTGTCGTCATCTCCCCACCAGTATTTCGATATAGCATCCGTCATTCCTTTGCATATTTTTTCCGGAATTTTGAATACAGACATCGCGAACACCGGCATGGCCTGAGCAACAACCTTAATAAGCGTTGCTTTCCCCCCTGTGGAAAGCAGCTTCTCCTTCCATCCTATCATCACCTGATTTACTCTGTCGATTAGATACTCAAAAGAGTCACTTCTGTCCGTTCCCACCATGGATGGTAACCCAAGATATTTATCGTTAAGGCCTTCCGTATTAATATTCAGTTGTTGACATACCACGACTTTCTCCTCCACCGGGGTGTTTGGACTGAAGTATATGCTAGATTTAGCCTCGCTGACCAACTGACCTGAGCTCGTACAGTAATCATCCAAGACCCTTCGGAGGCACACTGCATTTTGGCCATCAGCTCTCATAAGAATTAAGGAATCGTCAGCGAAGAGCAGATGAGAAATCTGCGGTGCCTCCCTGCATACCTTGACCCCTACCAATGTGCCATTGTTCTCTTCCGCTTGTAACATGCTAGATAGCGCCTCCGCACAGAGTAGAAAGAGGTAGGGGGACAAGGGGTCCCCTTGTCGCACGCCTCGTGTTGGCTCAAAAACATCAGTGCTCTCAGAGTTGAATCTGACATTATACGACACGGATGACACACACTCCATGATCAAATCTGTCCACTGTTCCGCAAGTTGTTGATTGTTTGTGCAGGTATTCGGTGACTTGTGCATTGTCTCCTACTGTATTGATACCTTGGTTCTCAAAACTAAGAGAAATACTTACGCTACTTTGTTGCATCATCATTTCCTTTTCAAGGGAAAACCAACGCAAGCTCAAGAGGTAGCAAGCCATGCCAGCGGTTTCGTTGAGCGCAAATGATTTAAGGAGTTGGGAGGGAATCAAGGAGGCCAATTTTCATCATATCGCTCGTTGTTCTCTGGCATGGGGAGTCAAGAAATGTATTTCATTTCAAATTTATTTAAAACTTAAAAAAATGATTTTCATAATTTAGGACTCCATGGAGCCCTGATGTCAAAAATCCTCACCCGTAAAAGAACTACATTTTAGGAAGTCAGCACTATCCCCTATTCTTCCATAACTCCCAGAATATTTTTGGGATGTCCAAAAAACACTTGACACCTCGCACTTGCCCCTACATTTGAGCAGAATTTGCCTTTTCTCTGCACCCTCCGGGCCGGAGGGTTTTGGGGCGGGCCGCCCACCCGAGCGCTCGGAAGAGAAGACCATCCCAACTCCCAAGGCACCTCAAACAACACAGGAACGGTTCGAGGCTCGTGTCTGAAGGGCACCCGGACAATGCCTGGGTCAGGGATATTGGAGGTGCCCTTTCTACTCGGGCCTTGATTCAGTACATCGATCTGTGGGACGCACTTGCAGCCTTGGAGTATGACCTGCAGCTAGCAGGAGGACAACTTCTCTTGGATGTGGAGTAAATCTGGTGCATACTCTGGTAGTTCTACCTATATGATGCCGTGTCAGGGATCATCGCAGTTTGGAGCACCATGGCTTCGGAGAGCTTGGATGCCGCTGAATTGCAAGATATTCGTTTGGCTTGCCCTAAAACGCTGAATGTGGACTTCACAATCGACGAGTGAGGCATGGTCTGCATGATAATACGATGCCCTTCTTCCTCTGCCTGCAAGAACAAGACAATGCTGATCATATGCTCATCAAGTGTGTTTATGCATGATATGTTTGGTCATCCCTACAGTATCTGTTTGGTACTGTAGGGATGAGTAGATGAATAGTTCCCAGTAGCCATACCAATCAACCTGTGATCGCTTCTTGGCCTACCTTGTAAAAACTTTTTCTCCTCTTTTATAAAAGTATGGCACGCTTAAGCATACTCTCGAAAAAAGGAAACGGGCACGAAAAATGCACTCGAGGCCATCATCAGGCAAGAAGCATTTTTTGCGGGGGAGAGTAGAAGCTTAGTTTCAACCCATACAAGGTCTGCAGCACGCGCTGTTACCTACCATTACTATCTAGTCTAGGTTAAAAATCCTGCTACACGGGGACCAGGAATGCGACGACTCGACATGACGACATTGGAGGCCGGAGCTGCGGCCGAATCTCCAGCATCCAGGAAGAAATTGCTTCTCTTACAAACTGCAAAAGAAACAAACACATTTGACATGTTAGCATCTATACGGAAAAATCAGAACCTATACAAGAGCCTTTTATTTAGTATTCCACTTAAATAAGACGTTTTAGAGTCCATGATAGTGTAAATAAAAACGTCTTATATTAAGTTACAGAGGTGTTGAGAGAATGAAAGAGATGGGATTCAGCACACTTCCATTATGCTCAAGGCTGGGTGATATATACAGGTTGCTGGACTCAGCCGAGCGGGATCGTGGGTATGCCACTACCACTAGACGTGCAGCACTACCAAATCAACAAAATAAGATGCCAGTTTCACATGTCAGGCTCCAAATCTCAAGCCAATAGGGAAATGGGAGAGACGACCAGTGCGTTTCGCAAAAACATCCAACTCCAGTGCAGGAAACACAGTTGTTTGCTCATAATTAACTCGGAAGCGAGCGGGTTTGTAATTTTTATCCACAAAACTGAGCTTGGCCAATTATGAAATCGGTGCCTCGGCAAAAGATAAAAGAAATGTTTAATTCAGGTATTCCGTAACCTAGGCAAACAAGGGTATAAGATCAGTGTGCCTGCCCCGATCAATCATTGTATCAGAATTCAGAAGCACACAGCTTCATTAGTGTTCGTCCTTATCGTCAGAAGTTTGGTCATCTCCGTGACTGGAACTTGCTCTAATTATGTAGACCTGCATGATTTACATAGAAGAAGTCAGATAATGTGCACTTAGCAGTAAGATAAAATGACCTCCACATGATCAGGCCATAAAAGAATCCCTTCCATTAGATTAAACGAACGCATCTGGCACTGATGTTGAGCAATCGCATGCTTCCCCGCAAACCGTGTGCAAAATCGGCTACCAAAACAGGCCTAACTTCCTATCTTTGAACATGTAATGTAACCACAAATCACTGGTTTCAATCATGGACATGGCATATAACCTGCTTTATAATTTAAATCCAAGACATATATAAAAAACACCGAGGTTTGAGATTACACAATGACTTGGTCTGGTTTGGTTATTATTATGCAGCCATAACAGGGTTTTCCCCGTGTAGGAGTTGTATACGACCACATTTGGAACGAGTTATATATATGCCCTCGTACTGAATGTGGAGTTCCTGATAGTAAAAGCAGAGCGATTTTATGCATGGAATGGTGAAGATGCTAAGTCTCTCACCTTGAACTTTGTCCTCTCTGTCAGTTGGAAAACCAAGCAATCGCCGTCGGCGAGGTCATGGCGGGCGGCGAACCCTCTCCACCCCTTGTTGACGAAGTGGTGTCTGGCATTGTACAGCATGTGGAACTCCTCATCCGCCTCGTCCACCAAGACGACCGCCTCGTCGTGCGCCGGGAGATGCTCGACGAAGTGCTTCGGGATTGTCTGTCACGTCACGATGCATACGTATCGAGTAATAAGAATGCCGGTTCACCTCCAGCCTCCTCAGCCGCTTGGCGTTCCTGGCCGTTGGATCTGCGCTCTTGATGAAATCTGGGCCGTCGGATCGAGCTCCTAGATGACCTGCGCCGTCGGATCGAGAGTTGACACTGTTGCAATGAACAGTTTTACCCCACTGTAAAGATCCCGTGCCACCGCACGTAAATCTTGCCCCCCGCAGAGGGCATTTTCGTCATTTCACGCACATGGGTATATAAGCGGCGGCTCCTGTGGAGATAACCCTAGCCGCCTCGCTCCCGCACTCGCGTGTCCTCCTCCCCACCAGCGCCTCCCTCTCCTCCTTCCCCGCCGCCGCCCGGCCTCCTCCTTCCACCCCTCCGGCCGGCTCTCTCCCGCTCGCGCCGCCTCCTCCTCCCAACCAGCGCCTCCCTCTCCTCCTCCCCGCCTCCTCCTCCCCACCAG